TAGCAACATACAACCCCGATCGTCGGTAGAGGATTTCCTAGATCATATAGCAGCTTACGAGGTCAACTGGTCTTCTAAGACGTTCCCTATCTCTCTCAATGCGAGTACTAGACTCAAGCCAGGATCATGAGAAAAAGTAGAAGTAAGACATTCAGTTCATGGATAAAGGGACTCACACCATTCACAACCAAGGACTCGTTGTACCGGGGTGCTCTTTCACTTCATTTCACCGTTGGAACCCCTTTTTCACTTTCATTTTACTTACTTTTTTTCCTTTTTATTCACTTAGCGGGGGTTCCAACTGCAGTCTTTTGCACGGTCGACCCTTATTAGTCGAGCAAGAGCAATTACTGTACATCTGGCGCTCGCCAGAGTACTTCTTTTAACTCCTTTTCCTCAACTCGTGTGGAGGGTCAATGAAATTAAGGGGGGTCAGAAGCTCTATCCGTGCCCTTAAAAACACATCCTCGAGTAGGCAAGCCGTTCAACGGGTGAAAATTTTACTTGTACTAGAGACAGCTTAGCTTCACCTTGTAGGAGTACCCCACTAAGGATCACTAAAATCTCTTCCAAAACCCGATTTTGTGCAATGAACGGTGCCACACACCAAAGAAGCAATAATGCAAGCTTAAACGATCAAGGAACAAAGGGGAAAACCTGTGCAAATATCGAGTCATCACCTACTCCAGTTCTGCTTCAATCTTTCCCACAGTAGCACTAGAACCAGCCTACGTAGTTACACAGCTTACTTAGTTTCAGTGTTTTAATGATGATAACAAGACCTCTATAACAAAAGCTAATGGGAAATGCCATCCATTACCATTCATCAATGGTTCTATTCAGTACAATGGGAGAGCGAAGACTTGAGTGCGCCACAGCTGTCGACATGGAAGCACCACTCTCTGGAGGTGCTTCAGCTGCATGGGGTGCACCGGCTCTGTACATCTTATGTTACTCCTTGCAGAATCCAACTTGAACTTGCTGCCTACATCATCATGAACACGCCTTCTCTGAAACAAGTACTCATCGACACCCGCGACCCAAGCTTAATTGGTTCTCCCGTAGCTGAATCCAGAACAGCCCATTGTGTCATTGATTTAAAGATAAGCGTATTCAAGAAGTAAAGAAATGGTGATGATGGTTACCTTGAACTTTTGCCCTCGGTAAGTGTGTTCAACAAGCACCTGCTTTGGTTCTCCAGAGGAAGGATCACAGAATCCCATTATCCCCGACTTCTTCACACCCTTGTGAAGCTACATCGACCGAGTTTGACCAGAAATTTTCAGAATGCAGCTGTGAATAAACTGGGTTTTTTGGGCTGAAAATTTTAGTTATAAGACTGTACCTTCAGCTGCCCGGAATCATTGACTAAGAAATTAAGAGGAACTGTGACATCGATGAATTCTTCTGTTGTTGCGTCGCCATTTGGTATTGTCCCGTCTTGTTTTTCCAATGCTTCCCGACTTCCATAGACTGCTCTATCGATGAGCAGCCCATTTGCTTTTGAGACCCACGGCGCAGTTCAAATCTCCAAGAGATGCCCTGAGAGAAGTAAAAGATAGAACATCTTCAAATACGGTGGGAAACAAACAATTACCATAAAACAAGGCTACGTCGAATAGCTCATTGCAGCATCATGGTTTAGATGGTTTAATTCCCTCTGTACATTTTTCATGTGCGATGAAGAGTAAATATAAATTCATAGTCCTATGTTTTGGTACCTGAATTCCAATGACATACATCATCCGGACGGTGGTTAAATCAGATATCTTCCTCCCACCACCAAATTCAACCTCAAGAGTAGTACTGCAATCATAATAAAGAGGTGTGTTTAATCAATAAGATAGAGTAATCATTCGAATGATTCAAAGTAGCCTCGATGAATAGAGCAAGAAAAAATGACTCATGAACCAAATTGGCTTATGATCAAATTTGAAGACACAGCTTCCAAGAAGTTGTAACCAAACACAAGACAATAATAAATTTTATGGAGAAGAAGCACCAACTGTTATAATTACAGCTGAAGCCAAACTATAAGTAATTTTTAGAATCATTTACACAAGCGAGAAGCAAGAATTCAAGCATCAGTTATGACTGCGAAACTGGTGATTTGAAATTCATTAAGAGCAACAACCTGTTGTAGTCCTGCAGGTTAAGAAGCGGCAGAGGAAAGGATAGGGAAACAGATAGAACTACCATAAATTTAGCCCCGTCAAAGGAAAGAGAACTAACCATTTCTAGAGAGCGAGAAATATGCAGCGGCCGCAGCTAGTTCGATGTTGCGCAGGAGGCACCTGCAGCCGCAGCCAGTTCCCGTGATCGAAACCAACTGTAGTCCCACCGCCCGCAATGGCGGACCGCCGAATATGGCAGAGTCGAACAAATGCGATAAAGAATAAATTAGCATAATGCACACAACTCCAATCACGAATAGAGACGCACAAAGAGGAACCTGATGTCCACTAGCCCCAAATCTCGCTGGAGGGTGAGAATCGTACTTGGCATAGGAACCAGTACCTTGATTGTCGAACTGCATCAATATGACGGAGGAGGGGAAGCCTTACTGTCAACGTCACTGGCGCATCATCTCCGATATCTCCTTGCATGAAAGCGGGTCGCCCATCTAGGCCATGGAGCCAGCCGGCTGGGCGGCGGTGATGTAGCCGACTATGAATTTCCTTCCGGAATCATGCAACCCGAGGAAGTGAACCTCCCGCTACGACTGTAATCTACTTCTTAGCTGCTGGAGAAGGCTCGCCAAAAACTAGGGGAAAGCAGACGGTGCAGATTGAAACCATGAATCAGTCCGGCAAAAACAAATCTGCAATGGCAGAGTCGCCGGAGATAGAGCGGCAAGGGGATAAGAATGAGTTCGAGCTCGTTCGTGGGAAGAGAGAGAAATGGAGGAAGTGTAAGAATGGAGGGAAGGGGTCGTGATTTTGGTAAAAAACCAAAATTTCGTGAAATTTTACGGAGGGAAGGGATTGTGATTTTTTTTTCATTGGCGGGTAGAGACTTTTTCCTTGAAAAAACCAATACAAATTTATGAGCATAAATTGGGGCTAATTTTAACCATTTTTAATTATTTGATTCATTAACAAATATATTTAAATGTAGCCCAAAATTATATCACCAAAATTTTAATTATTTTGGACAACAAAAAGAATGGGTTATCGACAAATTAGTTGACCGCATCAAAATGCAACAATATACCTTCTGCATCTAATGTTACATGTGTTCTCTTTCAAGTATTATTGGTTCGTATCATAACTCAATTAATTGAATAGGATTCTATGCATAATCGAATAGGATTATTGGCTCCCTTTCAAGGATTCTACTGCCAAAGAAGAAAAAATATTACTAGTTATTTGGCCCATGCTTCGTAACGGAACGCCTATTTTATTGTTGTTGTGTAATTTATTTTTCACACTAACATTTATACTATTTTCATTGTAATTGTTTTTTTTTATCTTCACATACAATGAAATTTAATTTCACATAATTAAACTACATTGTCAAAAAAGCACTGAAAGTCCATGTTTAATACTAAAATATTTCTAGTGGTCTACCAACACTAATAAGGTAATGGCTAACCGATCGATCGTTTTGATGCCCATATTTTCCGTTAATGGTATTGTTGCAACGCTGGAGTCTCTAGTGGTACGATCCAGTTTAAATACTGATAAGGTAATGGTGAATGAGTCGGGCATTCTAATTGAACCATCGACCATTATTTTCCATTGTAATGGCACACTTTAGTTGCAAGCAAGTGTGTAGTAATTCGCGAGTCAATCAATTGATTGACTTGTGGTTTAATAATTCTAATGCTGACCTGTCTCTCCTCAATACTCTTTACACTTTCCTTCGTTTATCAGTGACTTTAAGTTCCCTTTTAATGATTTGGTTGGAGCATGTAAATTATAAATCGACCACCAAAATTGGTGGGTTCGAGTGATATCGAGTTCAGCGATGATTCTTACGAATGGCCACAACCAAAATGTCATCAACTATTCAAAACTCATGGTTCTAATGACATTTAATCTTCCAGTAAACAAAAATTGTGGCATTAATACCGTGCTTGTCAAGTGCGTGTGAAAAGTTGCTCGTCTTCAAATGGGATTTAGCACTTACATTAGTAAGTTCACCGTCTGTGAGTTTTACGTGTGGCATTTATGGAATTAACAGTGTGAAATCAAATTTCAACGGTCATTTTCCGATCCGTCAACGTTTTTGGCCTCGTGACAGGAACAAGCTGAAGACGAACTTGCTGCGCTGCCGTTTCATCATCTCCTTCTGAAGCCGAAGTTGTTGTGTTGCCGTTTCACCCTCTCCTTCTGAAGACGATGTTGCTACGCTGTCGTTTTCCCTTTACTCCTTTAAGCTTTACTTTCTTTTACACCAAGTCAAACTTGGTTTCCTTTCCAAGCTACCAAACAATGTCTATGAAAGCTTGTCTACTTGTACGTTGCTGAACCTATAAGAGGCAGATTCGATGAATGAGAAAACTAAGAACTAGGTTTTCAGTATTTCCATCTTGTTCCTTTGTTAGGAATCTTGAGCTCATCTTATAAGAGTCAATCCACAAACACAAGTAACGTCATTCAACCCGCTTCCCCCACCCCACCCCAAACCCTCGCCATCTTCTTCCTATGGTCGATTGAATGAAGACAAATAAGAAAATCAAGGTTTCATTGAAACCAAAACTAACAAATTCTCGGCATAACATAACCTAAATTCCCACCGACGCAGAACCTCTTCCTCGTTTGTTGTATGAACTGAGACGGATTGATCATAATTTAATTTACATCATTTAATTTAACATTTAACAAAAAAGAACAATCAATCCGAAACCAATAAAAAAATCCAATTTCCAATTTCAATCCCACACTACACTGGTAGCTAACAGTAACATACTAGATCACTTCACAATGCAATAATTGGGCACACAGGAAAATAAAACTTTTATATAGCTTTATCCTAAAGTGGAAAACATTATAAAATCAGTTAAATAAAAAATCAAAGCAAAAAAAAAATGGGGGAACTTAAAAATTATTATAAAAGCAATCTTCGAACGCCTGATTTGTACATCAAAAGCTTGAGCTCCCGCCACTGTGTTATAATGTCCTCTACTTTTCCCTGATGGCAATGCCTACTATTATTAGTTATTAGTGTCTTCATAAATTTTCATGGTATCAATGCCGCTGCACTTGCTGCCCTTTTGTTCCCGCAAACTCCAGAAATCTGGTTTTCTTCCCCAAAGGCCAAAACCCACAAATCGCACATACATCGCCATAAATGCTCATTTCCTACAATTGCATCGACGAAGTCTTTCTTTGGCGGGAGAGTAGGAGAGGCCAACGACGATTATAAGACTTCTATCGAGTCGGAGATCTGCCGGGAAGAATCGCGCCGGGAAAAGTAACCAGTGGGAGAGGGAAGACCGGATCTCAATGGCATCGTCGTCGGGGTCCCCGGTACCGCTGGATTCTTCGTTCCGGTCGACGATAGAAGGAACCCTGAAAGTAAATTTACCTTCATCAATAATATTAGAAATCATAGGTAGAAGCCGGACAGAAATCAAGCTAAAAATCCCTAGAGTGTAGAGGGATACATCGGCTTGATTTAGGTTAGGTAGATACCAAAACTTTGATCTACAGATGATAGGAGAATAGTGAAATCATAGTATGTCCAAGGAGGTGATAGGGGATGGATTTTAATTATTTTGAAGTCTCTCACCTCTGATAAGGATGACGAAGTACATGCTGGAAATGGAGTAAACATGAACAGGAAAGGAAAAGAGGAAGGAAGTGAAATGGTTTGTGGGACCTTCTGGGAAAAGTAAATGAATAAAAGTTTGGTGACATTCAATATTTTACTTCTGCATTTTGAAAGAAAAACGAAAACAATTGCACTATTTATTGTTGATAAAAAATTTTGGGTGTTATAATTTATGAATAGCAATAGGTGGTTAAGCTCTCTTCCAAAATTGTCAATGTCCAATCCATGTTAGCATTAACAAAAAGAAACCATGAATCCAAAATAAATTATACAAATATCAGTTTTCTAATCTAAGTCCCAATTTTGGCGTAATTCAAATGTCTATTGTTGATAGTTTTGAAGGAGAATTCTACAAGGGGCAGATATTTCACTCGAAACAAGCTGCACAGATGGCGATTAAACACCACGCACTACAACGCAACTTTCAATATGGCGTGGTGGAGTCGTCACCTTCAATCTGGAAGGTCAGATGCTTGAGGCACAAGGATGACAATTGTCCTTGGATGGTGCGGTTTGGATGTCGAGATGCTGGAGGCGAATGGACTGTGAGAAAAGCTGAGTTGGTGCATTCTTGTAGCAGTACGACTCAACCGACGGATCATCGCCATCTTGATGTCGACATGATATCTGAGGCCGTCAAACATTTGGTACGTGCCCAACCAAATCTGAGTGTTCTAACTGTGCAAGCTGAGTTGAAAGATAAGTTTAATATGCAAGTTACTTACAAGAAGGCTTGGTATGGGAAACAAAGAGCATTGGAGAAGTTGCATGGAAATTGGGAAGAATCCTACGATTTTTTGCAGACATTCTTGCGGGTAGTCAAGAGAAAAATGCCAACATCGGTGATTGATTGGGTAAGAGTTCCTTCGACTCAACCAGGTCATTTGATATTTCAGCGAGTATTCTGGGCTTATGGACCTTGTATAGATGGATTCAAGAATTGTCCGGGCGTCATGGTTGTTGATGGAACATTTCTTACTGGGAAGTATAAAGGAGTGCTACTCATGGCGAGCTCATTTGATGGTCGGAAGAAAATTTTTCCAATTGCATTTGCCATAGTGGAGAGCGAGAATACTGAGAGTTGGCCATGCATCATCTCAGATAGACATGCAGGACTCTATGAAGTCATGAATAACATCGGAAGAGGTTGGGAGTGGAGGTGGTGCATGCGACACTATGCAAGCAATTTGCAAAGGAAGACTAAAAGCAGAATTATGTATAAGCAACTATTTCGAGTCGGTAAGCCTTCTTCATTTAATTATGTTATTTATTTTCATGTAATTTTGTCATGAATTTATCTAACCCGTGTGGTTGTTTATTTTGTTAGCTGGAGAAAAACGGTTGGAGAAGTTCGATCGTCAAGTTGAGCAATTTAAGAAGGTGGCCAGTGATAGAAATATTTCATGTGATAACTGGGTGGATCAACATCAGATTCGTTGGAGTTTAGCACATGATAACTACAACGGTGGGCATCGTTGGTCTATGCTGACATCCAACATGGCAGAAAGCATCAATGGTGTTTTCAAAGGTTGCCACTACATAGCAAAAATTTAACGTTATTATCCCTAAATCTAAAAAAATAAAACAAATGAAAACTATTCTATAAAATGGAATGTTATATACTAACCACCACGGTGTCCATCGCGTCAAACCACAGCTTGTACTGGAATAGCTGGTCACCATACTGACGACTGCTGGCCGAAAGCCATCGAAGACCACGTGGATGTGCATCCTCGGTGGCCGGTGCCCTCGTCTCTGAATCTCGAGGTGCCAGATGTGGGAATCGCTCCCACGCCCAGAACTGCAGTAGGGCGACCCATCCACCAAGGTCACCGGCTAGAGAAGTGCCGGTATGCGAAATGTGCAAAGTCGACCTACCCATCTCACGGTACAGGTAGGATAAAACAGCAGCTCCCCAGGCGAACCCTCCAGCCCTCTCCCAATCCTCAATCAGAAGTAGGTACTGTAGGTGCACCGTAGATCCAGACCGATCCGGGAAAAGTACACCTCCAATCAGAGATAGAGCATAAGCTCGTGCAAACTGCTCTATAACCTCCTGTGATGCATCTTCCGGCAGATGGCTGAATTCAACCCTCAGCCAAACAATCCTAACAACACCGACCCCGCCTACAAGATCATAAGGAACCCGTCCTAACAGTCGCAAACAGATCGCCGACCACTCCTCATCTGGTATATCAACTACGACGGCATCACCGTCGATCGCCAAACCGGACAGTGTAACAACGTCCTCTAACGTGATCGTGATCTCACCACACGGTAGATGGAAGGTCGACGTCTCGGGTCGCCACCGCTCTACGAGCGCAGTAATCAAACTCGCATCGGGGTTCATAGGGACTAGGGGCACGACACTTAACAAGCCTGCCGCTTCGAGATATGGCCGATAAAGCTCGTGGTAAGGTACTAAAATGGTTGTACCTCGAACATGGTAAGATCGATCACCAGCCTATAGTGCACAAAACGTATATTATTTCATCTTCATTCGTAATAATTCTAATTTCACCTAATTAATTCTAATCTGTAATCATATTCTCTAACAGTACAGTTCAGTTCACCAACTAAAATAATCTAATTAGAATCATTCGTAATAATTCTAATTTCACCTAATTAATTATAATCTATCTAATCTAATATCAAATTATACTAATTTCAAAAAATCTAATACGTAATCCTATTCTCTAACAGTACAGTTTAGTTCACCAACTAAAATAATCTAATTAGCTAATTAACTTTACATGAATAATTATCAAATACTTACCTCGTTTGTCCAAACAGAGTCGATACGATGTTGGCCATGTCCCCAAAGAAGTGTCGCATCGACCGGACCTGTATCAATTGTCGCCGGCGGTAATCTCATCGAATACGGATCCATAAGCCTAGGAACTGCAAAAACAAAGCAACAAACCATTAAAAAAAACACAAACCATTTAAAAAAACATTCAAGCCGCCGACGAGAGTCTCACCGCGCAAACGGCTGCCACGACCTCGCCGGCCTCTCCCCCTGCCTCTGCCGGCGGCGACTTCTTCTTCATCGAGGACATCTCCGGGCGGCGGCGCTGCTGCTGGCTGCGGCGGCGATGAACTGTGGGGCGGCGGCAACACGAACAGGGGCGGCGGTGCCTAGAGCAGAGGCGGCGGCGCCTAGCACTGGGGCGCTCTCGCTCTTATCAGTGGCGGCGGTGCCTGGCAGAGCGGCGGCGGGACCTGGCTCTGGGGCGGCGGCGCCTTGTACTGAGGCGGTCTCGTCCTGGTGGCTGTGGGTCTCGACGGCGGAGGAGGTCGGGAGAAGAGAAGTGGGGTGGTGGAAGGGGGAGGAGGCTGTCGGGAGAGGGGAAGGAAGGAGGGTCGGCTGTCGGGAGAGGGGAAGGAAGGAGGGAGGGGTTGTGTGGTCCAGGAGGAAGGAAAGAAAGAGATAAGGTTGGGTGGGTGGGGCGGGCGGGTTTTTTAAAATAAAAAGGAGTGGGGTGGCGGCGCCTTAGTCTCGGGCACCGGCACCTAGGCCTGTTAGAATAAAAAGTCTAAGGTGGGGGCGCCTTAGTCTAAGGCGCCAGCACCTAAAACTATGCTAAAAACACAATATCTTTGTAAATACTTTTTAATCCGCCATATTGGTGGTAAATTTAAAAAAAAAACAATATTTGTGTCAATAATCCTACTTTATTTAGCTTTAACATGAGGTGGAAAACCTAATAAAACTTATTAAATAAATGAAGTAGCTTAAGAGAAAAGGTAGCAGATGCAGAATTTGATAAACATCGAAACCGTTACCTTTGCTTCACATCTTGCTCTTCCACCGGTACACTACAATCTGTTTTCATGTATAATGTTTCAAACACACATATTATTATCCATACTACCACATATTTCCGGAGGATTTCGTGCGGCACTGTCTTCGCCCCTTTTCCCAGAAACCTAATTATACTTCCCGAACAACCAGAAATTGAACACATCGCCATTATTCTTCCCTACAATTGCATCGATAAATTCCATCTTTGCTGGGTACGCTGGAGAGTCCGGCGGCAATTAGGAGAGGATTTCCACTCGGAAGTCTGCAGGTGAATAATTGCGTCGGGAACGAGAACCAGAGGGAAAAGCGGAGCTCGATTACATCATCGTCTGGTCCCCGACACCGCTGGATTCTTGTTACCAGTCGACGCTCTTGGATTGAATCCGAAGCGGAGTGTCCACTTCCCTTGCAGCAACCCGAATCCGAAGCTCTCTACTGCTCGTTGGCCGGAGCTAGGGTTGTCGCCGGAATCTCCTGCTAGCGCTCCCCTAAAATCAACTATCTCCTTTCTCATCTTGTTGGCTGGGAGGAAGAAGCAGGAACATGTGTTCATGATCGATCATTGTGGCCAGTCCACATGGGAAGACAACTCACAAGCTGGGATTCACCGACATTGATTCTTCATCGTCTCACCACCGGCGTTGACTGAAGACGGAATACATGTTTGTCAAATACGCCTCGCCGCTTGGGGAAGAAGAACAGAAATTCTTGTCGAATTTTTGTAATAAAAAAAAAGACAAGATAGAGAATAGATTTCTAATTCTAAACACACAATTTTGGTTGATTTAGAAAAAGAAGGTATTCAAATTTATATAAATAAAAAGTTATATGATTGATTCAGCAAGATGAATGATAAAAATTTATGGGGTACTAAATCTTACACAACAATTATTTAATGGATGTGATTGTAATTTTAATTATCATTAATAATTAATGTACTCTTAATTAAATTAAATATATTCAATAATTAATTTACAAGTGTGAACATAGGCGTACAACGTACGACCGTCGTACGCTAGCCTTTGCCATATATATATATATAATATATATGGTGGTTTACCCAATGTACGATAGAACCACTCATATATATACCATCAATTAATTGGAATTCGGGACATGATACTATTCCCTTACCTCTAATGGGTGACCGTAGTCTCAATTGTTTAACCCAAATCATAAGATTCATTTAATCTTACAATGAAAACTAACGGTTCTGATTACTCGAAATTATCCAAATATAAATAATAGATGTGAACACAGGCGTATAGCGTACATGAGGCACACGTTGGCC